GAGAGAGAGAGAGAGAGAGAGAGAGAGAGAGAGAGAGAGAGAGAGAGTGATAAGCTATTTTGCCAAATGTCTTCATGTCTTCACTCAATCTCACTGTCATCCAGACGTCATTTCTGTCTGGATCATTGACCACTCCAAAAAATTATCTCATTGCCAAATCAACCCACGTCATCAGAATTTCAAGCCATCATATATTGCACTCATTCACTCTAATCTCAGTTCCCAAACTTAAGAATGATATTCCTGCAAATGCTTTGATTTATAGAGACAACTTTTGTTTAGTTCTTTGCTCTTTCGATCGTATTCTTAAAATACCGTCCTTTCAAATTTCTTTTTTGATTAAATGAGATTATGTTCACATGATGTAGATATATATTTTAGGTGTATACATATTTACAGATATCTGCACGGCACATGCCTGAACCCATTCTTATCTCACGTTGAGATAACGCTCAACCTCAGCTAATCTTTTGAAGTGAAACCTATTTTTTTTCATCTGTGCAAGTTAAAACAACTTAAAACCAGTGACACATCTAATGCATTTGCTTTCAGATGGAAAACTTGCCGCAATGCACATGAAACATTCAAGCTGACCATCTTTAGTCAACTGATTCCACATGTGATTCAGAGGAAGAGGTTTGCTGAGTCATTAGCCATACATGATAGTGTAACTCTGCCAGTCTGAGAGGAGTTAGTTGGTGTTGCAGGTGGAAACTTTTCTTGAGATGTCTAAGTCTGTTTTGATATCTGTGCCAGGAGAAAGTGGACCTTTAACTTAACAGAGGGACCAATATTCTCTTTTCTTTGTTTTTCTCACCTTCACTGTTGCAGTGAAAGAGTCCAGCTCAGCATTTATTAACTAAACAACTAAAATCAGACCATGCATTTGACTCTGGGGGTGTACTTTTGAGTGTGTGGATTTCCTCTTTTGTCTCTTTTGGCTAAACATAGCACAGTCAAAAGAAACATCATGGAACAAATATGATTCAGTAATGAGGCTGCTTTTTACCCAAAATGGTCATTTAAAAAACAGGCGTTTTGACACATTAGTTGGAGACTGCACTGGACACCTTTCTTTTTATATTAATGACCAAAATCAGTTGAAAGTGTTCACTCACCCTCTGTAATCACTTCTGTATGAACGGACTCCACCACATGCCCTCATGTTTCTTTTCTCTTAACATAGTGTTAAACAGACTTCTTGTGATACTGGAAAATCCTTAAAAATGTATCAATATATTTAGTTAAAGTGAGTTTCATGTGTAAAAGAGCCCCCCCCCTTTTTTTTGGTTGAACTGTGTAGTCATCTGTGTTTAAAGTGTAAACAAACTGCATCTGTGGTTAACAGGCAACACAATCTGAGGCCAGATCTACTTCTGAAACTCAAAATCCAAACAGGCAAACGCACACAAGTGGATGCCTTAAAAGGCTCACAACTTAACATATTTACATTCGGCGCTTAATTGCCCAGAATAACCTGTGACGATTCTGGCTGCTGTTAAAATGAGAGAAATCCTGTGACTGCTGGGCTACTACACCACATACTTTCTTCAGGAATGGAATGCTGCTCCCAAAGAGAGACGGAGAGAGAGAGAGGGGGGGGAGGCTTTTTTCCCTCAGTTAATGCAGATTTTTGAATACCTTGTAGTGCAGACCTGACCATAAAGCAATCCTCACAAAGGAGCTAGGCACACACACACACACACACACACACACCCTGCAACTCGTATAGGGAGAAGGTTTTCTTAGAAAAATGAGGTCTCCCTGGCTTCATGCGTGCAACACTGACTGACTTTCATTAGTTTTGTGAAGTAAGCAAAAGCAGTAGCCAGCAGAATCTATCTTCTATTTCTGGCCTCCCCCGACCCCCCTTCCCAGACTGACGTCAGCAGAAAGTTATTTTCATGAATGGAGGGGGCGGTCACGAGGAATCGGTGACGTGAGTGCTTGCGGAAGCAAAGCGTGGAATGTTGGTACATTGTTGTTGTTTTGTAGTCAATTTAGAACGAGGATACGCCGCTGGACGCTTTACACCGGCCGTGTCAGCTTCCTCCGGAGCTTTCTTTTTGGGAAAAGTTCCTCCGCACAGTTTCTACGCATTCCTGTCTACAGAAGTCTGCGCCCCGCAAAAAAGGTGAGGTTGTTGCTGTTTTTTGGTGTTGTTGTTGTTGTTTTTGTTTTTCGAGCGTCGTGAGAAATGTTTTGAC